CTAAAATTAGTTTGTCTCAACAGACTATAGCCAGGAGAATTGAAAAAATTGAAAGAAATATATTGAAAGAAGTTTGGAAAGTAAAGCTGCTAATTTAAAATTGTATGATTTGGCAATGGATGACAGCACTGATGTAACAAATACAGCTTAGCTTGCCATTTTTATTAGAGTTATTGATGACATATATAATGTCATTGAGAAAGTGTCTCCTTTAGTGCCATTAAAAGGCACTACTAAATCAAGAAATTTGTAAGAAGCAGTAAAAAAATGTTAAAGCAATTTTCTTTATCCACTGTCAACATATCTGGTATAATTATTCATGGTGCCCTGGTGATTATGGGTAAAAAGAGCAAAATTTGTAAAATTAATGGAAAACAATGCAGTTGCTTCCCCAAAGCTACATTTGATGAAGTATTATTGCATGTTACATCAAGAAAATTTATATTCAAAAGCTTTAAAAATGGATGTCATGCAAATCACCTTCAAGACTATATTTCATAAGGACCAAGGGATTGAATCATTGTCAATTTCAGGAATTCTTTACAAGTATAGATGGAAACTATGGCAGCATCATTTACTTTTCAGAAGTAAGATGGCTAAGTGAAGGCCAAATCTTGAAAAGATTTTATGATTTGTGACATGTTATCAAATTGTTTATGGTATCAAAAACCAAACTTGTGCCAGAACTTGGTGATAAGAACTGGCTTACAGATTTACCATTTTTGTGCATTTAACTGCTCATTTAAATGATTTAAATAAACATGGATCTTCAAGGTGAAAAGCAACAAATCAATACAGTGTTTCAAACCATAGCAGCATTCCACATCAGACTGGAATTATGGAATTCAAATTAAGGTCAACAATTTTATGCTTTTTGACATGTATTGCTAAACACAGTCTTATGAATAGCAAAAAATATTAAGCTTTGCTTTTCAATTCAATAAAAGAATTTGAAAACAGATTTCAAGATTTCCAGGAAAATAATATTTTGGTGCAATTGCACCTCCATTTTCAATCAATGTAAATATGTTACCAGGCTGGACACAGTGGTTCACACCTATAATCCCAGCACTTGGGAGGCCAAGGCACATGAATTACCTGAGCTCACAGGTTTGAGATCAGCCTGAGCCAAAGTGAGACCCCCATCTCTGAAAAATAGCAAGACGTTGTGGTGGGCACTTGTAGTCCCAGCTACTTGAAAGAATGAGGCAAGAGAATTGCTTAAGCCCAGGAGTTTGAGGTTTCTGTGAGCTATGATACCATGGCACTCTACCAAGGGTGACAAAGCAAGACTCTGTCTCAAAACAAAGAAAAAGTAAATATCTTACTTGTTAGTTTTCAAATGAAATGCATAGAACTGCAATATGACATAAGGAAAACTTGGATCATGTCTTTTTACTGGACTTAGTTCCTATCTTCTAAGAGAAAAATATCCCTTGCTTTACAATCATGTCTTATTTATGTCATTGCTTTTTGGCAGCAGCTAGATATGTGAGCAAGTATTTTCAAGAATGAAGCACATTAAGAGTAAAATTATAGCCAAATATAATATGAGTACCTTGAGAACTCACTGAGAATTGCATCTACTTCCATCAAAGCAGATATCAATGCATTAGTTTCTCAAATACAATGTCAAATATAAAACAAATTTTATGTTGCCTTTCCTTTTACTTTTATAATTAAAAATTCAAAAAAAGACATTACTTACATAATGTACATTTTCTATATTAATGATGACAAACTTGGGACTTAATCAGTGATTTTAAAAGACTCTTAATGGGCCACTGCATAATTAGATTATTATGAGGACTTTTTTTGCTTATCTTTGGTGACAGATATCATGAAAATTATGCACTGGCATTTTGGTTTTGTTCATCAGCTTTCATTTGTTTTTGTGTATTTAATGTGTGGCCCAAAACATCTCCTTTTCCCAATGTGTTTCAGAGAAGCCAAAAGGCTGGATACCCTTGCTATACACACTGGTGTGAGGGAAGATAGGAAATGGGTTAGGATTTTCAGAATATAATTTACAATTTGCAAGAGCTATAAAAGTAATGGAAAGATGGTGTTAAGAACATACATAAAGATTATTTGGGAGCAATTAATTCCACAATGAATGTGCCTCTTAAATGGTGCGAATTTGTATGGTTTTATAATTTTCTCAAGTATTATTTATCAGTCAGGATGTTGGAACAGAGGACATAGCTTTTTAGGCTGATTGATGGTTGATTTTGAAGGAGAATAATGACAAGAAAGGTCAGAAAGTTGAAGACAATGGTAGAGAATTGTTGTAGGGACAAACTGTGAAGTGTGGGTTGAATAAAGAAGAAAAAGAAGCCCATAGGAGTCTGGCAGGTGAAGAGATCCTGACATGAAGGCTGGAGGATATAAGAAGATGACCATCCTTTGGAAATATTATATATGGTATTTAAAGGGGGACATGGGGGTTAAGATTTCAAAAGTGGAGTAAGAACTCATAGGTAATTTCAAGAACCAGCTTATACCTGTGGATTCAGGAAACTGGAGTAAAGATCAGCAAAGATACTGGATTTGGGCTAGTTAAGCAACCTGTTAAGCTAGTGTAGGTTATCTACATAACAGCAAAGGTAAGGACTTAAGACTGGAGTCTCATTCTTCTCTGGAGAAGTGACCCAGAAATTGGAAGAAGACAGCATTGTGAAAGGGGAAGGTAAATAAACAAAACAACCAATAATGGAAGTGTTTTTATGAGCATGAAAGGGATAGTAGTTTGTAAGTAGCATAAGCAGCAGTAGGAGCCAAGAGAAAGCAGAACTCTGTCCTGTTTTATTTAGGGTTATGGTTATATAGAAAGTGAAATGTTTAATGTTCTTCTTTTGATTTGGTCTCAAAGGAGAGGTGGTATGACTGTGAGCCAGGTCACAGGTATATCAGAAGGTAGAAAACATTCATGTAGAAGCTGAGGATGCTTTTGGTTTCTAGTGGAATAGTATTTCTAATAGATGTTAAGAGTTGGTGAAGAGGGCATTATGGGGAAGGAAACAAACAATTCTGGAATGAGGTTTCATTCATGCATTTAATAAATGTTTCTTAAATTTCTATTTTGTGCCAAGCACTCATTGTGCAGGAAACAACATAGATGTGGTCCTTTCTTACATAGTTAAACATGGTTGCCTAAATTAATTAAAATTAAATACAATTAAAAATTGAGTTCCTCAGATATACTACAAGTGCTTAATAGTGATTGCTATATTGGACAATACAACTATATAATATTTACATCATTGCAGAAAGTTCTATAGGAAAGAGCTTATAAGAGAAAATAGACTATATGACCAAAGGGTTTATAGTCTGTATAACAGTAAAGAATACCAGTGGCTAAAAGGTCTACTGGGATTAACTAGCTTCGATATTTTGGCTGGCATTTGCCATGAGGTGTTTCTTTGCCACTGCCAACAGAGACAAAAGGTAACCTTGTTATAGCCTATCAGGGATTATATTCCAAACATTATAATCCCTGATGCTAACCAGTGTCTTTCTTTATATGTATTTTCATCTCTCAGGTGTGACCACCTTGATAGAGACTCAAAAGTGGTGTCCCCTATCTTCACCCAGTTCCTATATTGTATCTGACAATTAACAGAACAGTTTCGCTGTGCCTTTGAGTTTAATGAAGACTTCCTGCTGGGGATCCATGACCACATTTTCTCCTTACAGTTTGGAAACTTCCTTGGAAACTGCCAGAAGGATTGGGAAGATCTTCACTTTGTGAGGAAGTACTGAATAGGGCAAAGGGGGTTCATACAAAAGGAATGTACCGACCACCTTGACTTTGTGGCAGCAATCAAGAAAGGGAAGGAGTAATGTTAATAAAAATGTTTGAATCATAAAATGCCCAGTGTTTACATGGAGATCTCTCAAAACCTCAGATTTCTTAAAAATTGAGGTAATCATGCCTACTTGTCAGAACAATCACAAAGAACCAGTGAAACAATGGCTGTGTGAGGGCCTTGTCCAGAATCAGTTGCTGTGCAGTTATGAATAACCATTATCAACAGTCCTTTTTTCACTTATACATGTATTAGAGATCACAACTGGCAGCTCATAGGCTGTACCTGGCCTAATCGTGTTTTGTTTAGACTGGAATATTTTTAAACTGTGAATTAATTGCCAACATTTAAATAAAAGAGATTTCACATAAAAATCTAATTATTTTAGGATTTTGTTTCCTAAATGGAAAAGCCACTATACCAAGATATTCTGAAAGTTCAGAAGCTATGGCAACATTGGACCTGCATTTTCTAATGACAGTAATCAAGTAGACCTGAACAGTAACTGTTCCATGTGGATGAGGATGCTCTTGTTGCTCTCATTGACCACAATTCTTACCATTCCCTGCAGTTTATTCTCAGCCTACTTTTAATGTTAACTGCCTGGTTACAATATATAGTTGAGTTTGCAACCTTAGGGAGAGATGCTAGTGTTTAATACAAGTACTTTTTCAATTGATAAGATGGAATGCTGACGAACAGAACTCTCTTTATTTTAAAGAGAAAGAAATGGAGATAGACAGGAAGGTAGCTATTTCACCACCTATGCTCATTTCACAGTTGTTGGCTGAGTGAGTAGTTAGCCCAACTTCTCAGTTGGGCTTTATGCTGTAGCTTGGATGACATCACCTCTCTGTGATTCTGTTTTCCTATCAACACAGAAAATAGTGATTAGTCTTCTTACTTTAATATTTGTACTTTCTTGGTAGCTTCCCTGAACATTTGTCTGTCTTTCTGCAGCAAGACCTTTCTTATTCCCTCCCCCAATTTTTTTTATACATATTCATTGTCTCTAACTTGCTTTCTAGGTATTAAAATCCAAGGTCTTTTCCATACTTTTTTTTTTTTTTTGAGACAGAGTCTCACTATGTTGCCTTTGGTAGAGTGCCATGGCATCACAGCTCACAGCAACCTCAAACTCTTGGGTTGAAAGGAATTCTCTTGCCTCAGGCTCTTGAGTATCTGGGACTACAGGTGCCCAACACAATACCCAGGTATTTTTTTGGTTGCAGCTGTCATTATTGTTTAGCAGCCCTGGGCTTGGCTTGAATCCGCCAGCCTCGGTTTATGTGGCTGGCGCCCTACTTACTGAGTTATGGGCACTGAACCTCCATAATCTTTTTATTCCTCTTAAAGTCAGGTTAATATATCTGGACCAGTTTCCCACAGAAGTCTGACTCTACATGTGAAATACAGCAGTTAAAAATTTTAACATAACGTTAATAGAGTAGTTACTTAAAACAAACTTAAGTGTCATTCATGAAATGAAAAGACAGGCATGGACTTTAGAATTACACAGACCTGGGTTCAGACTTTAGCTCTGTTGTCTACTAGTTATTTGATACTTAGCAAATTTTTTTCTTTTCACATTAATAATTTGGGGCTAAAACAACTTACAGTGTTTGGTTATAAAAATTTAAGGTGGCATTTTAAGTAAGGAGTCTGGAATTGTGTTTGACACATAATAAATATTCAATGAATATTGGTTACTTTATTCAGGGCTTTTTTCTCTGTTTGTAACCAACAACCGATGAGAAAGGTGGATATATACAGGGCCTTTGGCCTAACTGAAATGGTGTGACAATTATGAAAATCACAAGAGCTTGATTAAAAGTATTACCACCCATACCACTTCTCTTCAATTATCCTTCTTAAATTTCCATTGACATAGTATGTGCAGATGACTTTCTCATGCATAGTTACACAGCAGCTCTCATTGGAAACCAGGGGATCCCATGCATTTTGAGGTGTTAACTAAAGAGCTTCCTTGTTGGTTGAACAGACTCCCCATGATCTCAAAGTGTAAGAGTCAGACTTGTAACATAATTACTACAATTTTTACTTACCCACCTGTGATAGCTCATGAATATTTGCTAGTATAGATTTTCAATTGTCTTTCACTGTCTCAAACCTTCCAAAGAGAAAACAAGGTGGGTTTAAGTAAAATGAATTATAGAAAAAGCAGAAATTCAGAGGATGGATCAAGATGGTGGACCAGAAGGATCATTCAGCTGAGCTCTCCTAGAAGGACTAGGGATAAAGAGAGAACCCAGAACTACCTGGTGCAGGGACCTTATCCAGAGTCATAGATCACAGAACACAGCAAGAAGGTGGTGAGCTGGATACAGCATATGATCCTGAATGGTGGAAAGCTGATGAATTAGGCAAGTGACTGCTACTGTCTGGGATCAGCTACCCCCTCCACAGAGGTCTGGGATGGGAGGAAGCCTTTCTGGAATTTTAAATAGTTGGGAGAAGCTGTGCATTGAATGGAAAGCTTGGAAGAGTATATTTAATGGATTTAAACAGTGTGCAGCGACCAGATTCAAATGCTGGTTGAAGTGGATTTGTCATAGGTGTGGTGCCTGGTAAGGCAGCCATACTGAAAAGGTTTTGGTGGCCAGGGGGTTGCCATTATGAGAAGGTCTTAGCAGGGACCTAAAGTATGGCCATCTTAATTCCTTCTGCCAGGATCAGAACTCCACTCTTTGGACAGGCTAAGGGATTCCCATACCCCATGGGAACTGGTGTGAGAGGACACTGTGACACCTGCTCCTGAAGCATTCTTAAGAGCTTTAAGACCTCAACCCCACAGAGTCTGAATGCTGAGGAAACAATCAGGCAATTACCAAAGGTAACTAAGTTTGGATTAAGGACCATAAAGGTTGCTGGCTCTGCTCTCTGTCTCCTAAAAAAAAAAAAAAAAAAAAAAAAATCAGCACCACCTGGTGTCCTGGTGACGTATTACAACATGCTGTCATCAACAGCAAGGACTTTGGCTTGAAACAAAGGAGGTAGTAAGAAGGAAAAAGGAGGTGAACAAGAAGAAAAAACACATAAGGAGGAACCAACAGAAAAATTCAGGCAACATGAGAAACCAAAACAAAGAAACTCCCCCATGGGACCATGAGGCAGCTACTGCAGAAGACCCCACCTATAAAGAATTAATGGACTTGACAGAAAGGGAATTTAAAATATGGGTGATAAAGACAATAAAAGGAATGGGTGAGAAGATGGAAGGGCAGAACAAAAAGTTGGACAAGTGATATGCAGAATATGGAAAGAATATGGTGGAGCTTAAGAAAATGAAGGAGACAATTGGGGAATACAGTAGAAAGTATCAAAAGTGGATTATATCATGGAGAAGAAATAACCTCAGAGGTAGAGGATAAAGTTTTCAAGTTGACCCAAGTAGTTAAAGAGGCAGAAAAGAAGAGAGAGAAAGCAGAACAGGTGCTTAGAGAACTATGAGCCTCCATGAAGCTTTCAAACTTATGAATAATAGGGATTCACGAAGGACAAAAAGATTGTCCCAAATGAATGGAAACCCTACTGGAGACCATCATAAATGAAAGTGTCTGACACACTCTTTTCAGATAAATATTGAACTTCAGGTCAACTCAACTCAAACAGAGCCTCTCCAAGACACATTGTAATGAACCTGTCCAAAGTAAAAATGAAGGAAAAAATTCTGCAAGCAACCAATAGTGAACAACAACTGACCTACACAATCACAGCCATTAAGATGACAACAGACTTTTCAATTGAAACTTTCCAAGCCAGAAGAGCATGGTCTTCCACTTTCAACATTCTTAAACCAACTTCCGGCCCAGAATTCTGTATCCTATTAAACTAAGCTTGAAAACTAATGGAGAAATCAAATCTTTTGTGGATATACAAACACTGAAGAAATTCACCATGAGACCAGCTCTACAGGAAATACTTAGACCTATTCTCAGCACTGACCACCATAATGGATCACCTGCTAAGTAAATTCCCAGAAGCTGAAGGTCAAAGTTTAGCTTCCAGAGGCACAAATGATAAAACTACATAACAGTCATTCATAAAATAAGAGAACATTTATCAATTATCTCAGTAAATGTCAATGGACTGAATTCATGACTGAAGAGGCATAGGCTGGCTGATTGGATAAAAAAGCATAGGCCATCCATATGTTGTCTCCAGGAGACACACCTAGCCTTGAAGGGCAAACCAAGAATCAGGGTTAATGGATGGAAAACAGTATTTCAAGCAAATGAAAATCAGAAGAAAGGAGGCCTTGCAATCTTATTTTCAGATACGAGTGGATTTAAAGCAACTAAAGTTAAGAAAGACAAAAATGGACACTTTATACCAGTCAAAGGAACAACACAACAAGAGGACATTTCAATTTTAAATATTTATGCACCCAATTGAAATGCTCTCAGATTTATGAAACAGACCATGATGGGTCTGAGCAATATGGTATCCCATAACACCATAATAGTCTGGGACTTTAACACCACTCTGACAGAACTGTACAGATCCTCTAAACAAAGATACAAATGACTTAAATGTCACCCTAGAACAACGTGGATTACTAGACATATACAGGATACACCATCCCAAAGCTAAGGAATATACATTTTTCTCATCAGCCCATGGTACATACTCCAAAATAAACTACATCCTAGAAATTATACCTTGTATCTTCTCAGACCACAAGGCATTAAAGGTGGAACTCAACTCTCAACAACAACACTCTGTCTCACACAAAGACATGGAAATTAAACAACCTTATGCTGAATGATAGTTGGGTTCAGGAAGAAATAAAAGAGGAAATCTTTACATTCATCAAAGATAACAATGAATACACAAGTTACCAAAACCTGTGGGATATAGCAAAAGCAGTCTTATGAGAGAAATTTATTCCATTAGATGCCTACATTCAAAAAACAGAGAGTGCATCAACAAACTCATGAGGCATTTTATGGAACTGGAAAAAGGAGAACAATCTAATCCCAAACTCATCAGAAGAGAAATAACCAAAATTAAATCAGAGATTAATGAAATTGAAAACAAAGGAATCATCTAGGAAATTAATGAAACAAATAAATGGTTTTTTTAAAAAAAATAAAATAAACCTTTAGGTTGATTAACTAGAAACAGAAAAGTAAAATCTCTAATAACTTCAATCAGAAAATGATAAAGGAGAAAGAACAAATGCCACAGAGATACAAGAGATCATATCTGATACAAGAAACTCTATGCCCAGAAATTGGAAATGTGGAGGAAATGGATTAATACCTAGAATCACACCCTCTCCCTAGACTTAAGAGGAAATAGATCTCTTGAAGAGACCAATTTCAAGAACTGAGATTGAACAAACAGTAAAACATCTCACAAGAAAAAGCCCTGGTCCATATGGCTTCACACCAGAATTCTATCAAATATTCAATAGGAGTTTATACTGATACTGCAAAAATTATTCCAAAAAATTGATAAGGAAGGAAGCTTCCCCAACACACTGTATAAAGCAAACATCACCCTGATAACAAAACCAGGAAAAGACCCAACAAAAAAGGAGAATTTCAGACCAATCTTGCTAATGAATATAAATGCAAAAATTCTCAGTAAGATCATATCCAATATATTATAGCTACACATTAAAGAAAAAAATCATCCCAGGAATACAAGGCTGTTTTAATATGGGCAAGTCTGTAAATGTAATTCACCATATCAACAAAAGCAAAAACAAAGACCATAGGATCCTCTCAATAAATGCATAAAAAGCATTCAATAAAGTTCAGCATCTTTTCCTGATTAGAACACTTAAGTATATAGGCATAGGTGGCACATTTCTGAATATGATGGAAGCCAGCTACAATAAACCTACAGCTAATATTATACTGAATGGGATAAAACTGAAAGCTTTTCCACTAAGAACTGGAACCAGATAAGGTTGTCCTCTATCACCTCTACTATTCAACATAGTGCTGGAAGTTCTAGCCAATACAATCAGGCAAGAAAAGGCAATAAAGGGCATTGAAATATGGGCAGAAGAGGTCAAACTCTCGCTCTTTGCTGACAATATAATCTTATGCTTAGAGAAGCCCATTTAACCATAAGACTCTTGGAAGTCATCAAAAAATAGAGCAACGTCTTAGGATATAAAATCAAGGTACACAAATCAGTAGCCTTTGTATATGTCAATAACAGCCAAGATGAGCAGCTAATCAAGGACACCATTCCCTTCACAGCGGCTTAAGAAAAATGAAATACCTAGGAATACATATAACAAAAGAGGTGAAGGACCTCTCCAATTAAAATTACAAAACCCTAAGAGAAGAAATGGCAAAAGATATTAACAAATGGAAGAACATACCATGCTCATAGCTGGAAAGAACCAACATTGTGAAAATGTCTATACTACCCAAAGAAATCTACAGATACAGTGCAGTCCCCATTGAAATACATCATACTTTCAAGACTGGGAAAAAATAATTCTTTTTTTTTTTTTTAATGGAACCAGAACAAACTCCATATAGCCAAGGCAATTCTTAGTAATAAAAACAAAGCCAGGGGGTATCACTCTACCAGACTTTCTGCTGTACTACAAGGCCATAGTGATCAAAACAGTATAGTATTGGCACAAAAATAGAGACATTGATATTTGAAACCAAAGAGAAAACCATGTGATGAAACTAACCTCTTACAGCCACCTGATCTTTGATAAACCAAACAAGAACATACAGTGGTGAAAAGAATCCCTATTCAATAAATGATGCTGGGAGAACTGGATAACCACATGTAAAAGATTGAAACTGTACCCACACCTATCACCACTCACAAAAGTTGATTCAAGATGGATAAAAGATTTACTTCTGAGGCATGAAACAATAAAAATCCTCAAAGTAGGGGGAAAATGCTTGAAGAGATTGGCCTGGGGAAAGATTTTATGAAGAAAACATCTGTGGTAAGTGCAACAGCAGCAAAAATAAACAAATAGGACTTAATTAAACTGAATAGCTTCTGTACAGCTAAGGAAACAACAACCAAAGCAAACAGACAACCTTCACAATGGGAAAAGGTATTTGGATATTATGAATCAGACAAAAACTTGATAACTAGGAACAATAGAGAATTAAAATTAATAAAAAAAATCAATCCCAATATCACTGGGCAAGAGATATGAATAGGACCTTCTCTAAAGAAGACAGACAAATGCCTGACAAACATGAAAACATGTTCTTTGTCCCTAATCATCAGACTAGTTACCTCATCAGAAAATCAAAGCAACCCTGAGATATCACCTAACCCCTACTAGAATGGCCCACATCACAAAGTCTCAAAACTCTAGATACTGGCGTGGATGTGGACAGAAAGAAACAAACACTTTAACACCTCTGGTGGGACTGCAAACTAATGTAACCTTTTTGGAAATGAGTATGGAGAATCCTCAAAAAACTCAAATTAGATCTCCACTTTGATCCTATAATCTCATTACTATGCATCTACCCAAAAGAAAAAAAAGTCCTTTTATCATAAGGACATTTGCACTAGATCATTTATTGCAGCTTACTTTACAGTCACCAAAATGTGGAAACAGCCTAAATGCCCACCAACCCAGCGATGGAGTAACAAGCTGTGGTATATGTATACCATGGAATGCTATTCAGCCACTAACAAAGATGGAGACCTTAACATCTTTTAAATTAAGCTGGATGGAGGTGGGACACATTCTTAGTAAAGCTTGACAAGAATCCAATGTACTCTATACTAACATGAAGGCAGTAGATGAGCTAATACAAGGAGGTGGTAGGGGATTAAGCAAGTAAGGAGAGGGGAGGAGAGTCGGGGATGGCAGTCATGGTGTATGGCACACGTCTTGAGGGCAGGACACAATTATAAGAGGTACTTTATCTAACAAATGCAGTCAGTGTAACCTAATTCTTTGTACCCCAAATGAATCCCAAACAATAAAATAAATAAATAAATATATATTTTGCAGTTTTTGGCTGGGGCCAGGTTTGAACCTACCACCTCTGGTATATGGGGCCAGCACCCTACTCCTTTGAGCCACAGGCACCGCCCAAAATAATGTTATTTTTTAAAAACTCCATAAATTCACCCTATAGGATTCCTGCTTCTTGATTAACCAGACCTCTAAAACTAATGCTAGAATTTTTAAAACTGTAAAAGTCATTAGCTCATAGAATGCTAAACTGAGAAGAGACCTTAAAGGTCACATGTATAGATCAGAAAACAGGCCTAGAAAGAGCTAGGGATTTTCCTACGATAACTCATATATTCTATAGCAGAGAGTAGAATGAGAATTTCCTGCTCTCGAACATAGAACTCTCACTTCTTCTTCATTTTAGAGATCTGTAAATTGAAGCCCAAGTAATTTGTTACTATATCAACATTTATTAGGAACGTATTTTCTTTCTGTAGTACCTATACCTTTGTCTTGAGTTGAGTTTACTTATCAGTAAAATTTGCTTTCTACTTTAATTTTAGGGCTTATTTTTTTTCTAACAGTTTATGAAAAAACACATTATATGTGGCCTTTCTTGGTTCAGAGGAAACCAGACTTGAGGAACCCTCTCTATAAAGGCTTCGCTATGTATGGGGTACTCAATCCTAACACTGTGCCCTACAACATTCATTAAGTTCCTAACCTTGTCTCCTCCTTTCTTACAGCAGGCCCCACAACCTTAGCTTCCTTGATTCTCCTTGAATAGCTGTCACCATCTGCAAATGCTTAGCAGTAGAACAGTATACTGTTCTGTATACTGTATACTGCATACTCTGTCCCCACCTCACCCATTCTGTGATGACTCTTAAAATAAGAACTCTTTTTGATCTGGGGGGCTTTGCTATCACCTGCTTAGGGAAATAAATAAGAAATAATGGTTTTTGGTCACCCTCCCACCACCCAGCCGCCCTTCTCCCCACCCCTTCCCCACCCCCTCCCCATATTCTTGGGCTAGAATTAAGTTATATGTTTCATTTGAGAGCTATAAATTAGTTTCAGTATGAAAACACTACACTGTACCCCATGTTTGCATTAATGTATACAGCTATCATTTAATAAAAAAAAAAAGAAAGAATGGTTGATTTTTAGGTATATAACCAGTCAGGATAAAGGTTGTTCCATTTATTTAGTATTCCTCTATACCTTCTTTTTTATTGCTTTAGAAAAGTTACTCAGTGGAACTTGGAGATGAGACTCAGAGCAGATATGTTCAGGTCAGGTTTACTGAAAGGTATAGAGACCTGCCTGGGCAGGGCAAAGATGGCATTTGTGCTGGGGATAGTTAAAGACCCTTTTTATATGAGGCCTTAGGGGGTGGGAAAATTCCATAGCTTGCTGGAGGATATTGGTGGGCTAGGGTCCTTTGGTGTGAATTTCTAGGGTGGGGCCAGGTAGGCCCTTTGTGGTCTTTGTTTTATGAGGAAAAGAGGAGGAGGGGTAAGGGAGGGTTTATGTAGGTCCCCCCAACATTCCCAAGTTTTGTTAAAAAGGGTGATGGGTACTATAGTCAGTCTTCCAAAACTGCTTCTGGCTGAATAGAGTCATAGTTGTCCTCAGCGTGATGAGTCAGGTGTCGGTGGGCTGTGTGGGTTGGGGGTACATTGGGAGAGGTTATGGGGAATAATAGAAATTGGGTGGCAACTACAGCTGATACCCTTTTTACTTGGGCTTGAATAAATGAGGACGGGAATTGGATGACTCAGGGGCAATGGTTGGTAGGATTGCAGTAAGGAGGCCCAAGAGGGATAAGATCCAGTGTCACCATAAGCTGTCAAAGCAGAATCCCTCATTTTGAGATTATAGGTAGATTCCTTGTTTCTGAAGGTTTGCCCTCTTAGACCAGACCAGACTTGTTGGTGTAGAAACTGCAGGCCTCCTGTAACAAAATGCAAAGGTCCCCTTCCACTGTGAGCAAATCTAAGCCTCTATAATTCTGGAGAACCACTGTTGTCAGAGAGTCAACCTGGTCTTAAATTAGTTGTAACTGATTAGAGACTTCCTGGGGGCTTTTGTATAGCTCAGTAGAAATTAGTCAGAAATGGTGGGTAGCAGTCCATAGGCCAGTAGTCTCAATGCAAACTCCTGCCATGATGCCAAGCCCTGCTAGGAGAGGGATTAATTGGATGGCATGTTTAGCTCTACATGGGGTCTAGCTCTACATAGGGTCTGAAAGTGGACTAGAACTTGTTCATTGCTTGGGATAAGGGATATATCAGGGGAAAGCAGGATAAGAGTACAAATACCCATCCAATTTTTTGGGAGGCATAGACAAGTAGATGTTCCACATAGGAAAAATAAGCCAGTATCATTGAGGCAAGTGTAAAAGTTGAAGGAAAGGAGCAGTTCTCAAGTTCTTGCATAGTTTTGACAGGCCCTTTAGTATCCCAAATGAAAAGGGCTCCTACCAGGGTTGCTCCAGTGATAGGTGGTATAGACCAAGGTGGGGGCAGTTAGTAGAGTGTGCTTCAGGGAAGAAGTGAAACTTGATTTGCTTTAGGTCAGTGGTTCTCAACCTCCCTAATGCCACAACCCTTTAATACAGTTCCTCATGTTGTGATGACCCCCCAACCATAAAATTATTAAATGAGAATAGTCAAGGAACTAAAAGTAGACCTACCATTTGATATTGCAATTCCTCTACTAGATATATACCCAGATGATCAAAAATTATTTTACAACAAAGACATTTGCACCAGAATGTTTATTACAGCCCAATTCATAACTGCCAAGACATGAAAACAGCCCAAGTACCCATCAACCCATGAATGGATTAACAAATTTTGACATATATACATCATGGAATACTATGCAGCCATAAAAAAAGATGGAGCTGTCACATCTTTTATGTTTACCTAGATGGAGCTGGAACATATTCTTCTTAGTAAAGTATCATAAAAATGGGGAAAAAATATCAATGTACTCAATACTACTATGAAATCAATATATAATCACTTATACTTTCATATGAGTGATAAAACATAACTGTAAGTCCAGAAAGTAGAAGGGAAGAGGGGAGGGGAGGGGAGAAGTGGGAGGATGAGGATGTTTAGGGGGACCTCCTTTAATGTGCATGATGCAATGATACATTTCAAAACTATTAACAAAAGAGTATAATTGTGAAAAAAATAAAGTAGGAAGGAAAGCTTTGATCCTCCTTGAAAAGGTGTCTGTGAGGCTAAGAAGGTTTTTTTGTATTTTTTATAGAAAGTAGGTTGGTGTAGTCTATTTGCCAATATTGGCTCAGGAGATAGCCTGTAGCCTAATGTAATTGGGAGGGGGAAGAGGTGAGACCTCCCTTTGGGTAGTTGGCAACACAGATGGTACAGGTGGAAGAGATTTGTTTTAGAAGAGAGTAGAGATGTGGGCATAGAATTAAATGCAGCAAAAAGGGTTGGGGGTCTTGATCCTACATGAAATGGATTGTAGAGTTGTGTAAGAATTTGAGTGGTTTGGGCTGTGGGGAGAAAGAGTCCATTTTCCTTCATGAACCATCCTTGTTGTATAGGGAGGTTTTCTATGGTATATTTGTCTATTTCCTCCAGAAAGTACTGGGAAGAAAAGAGGGGAGAGAACATCAGGTGGAAGTTGGGTGAGGGCAACTTGACATGCTGTAGAATCAGTGTAATTGTTGTCCTGAGCTCTAGTATTGCATGAGGAACAATGGCTTTTACAGTGAATGACTGTGATATGGAAGGGTTATACAGCTTTCTGGAGGAACTGGTGTATTTGAGGCTCATTGGTTATGGGGGAGCCCCCTGTAGTCAGAAAGCCTCTTTCAGCTCAGATATCAGCATGATGGTGTAAGATGTGATAAGCATATTTGAATTGGTGTACGTATTGGTTGGTTTTATTTTGTTTTTGTTGTTTTTCCAGCAATTTGTAAGGCTTAAGTGAAAGTAGTAGATTCTACCTTTTGGGAAGAGGTTCCTAAGGGGAGAGGTTTGTCCTCAATGACAGTGGAGGGAGAGATGATGGCTTAAGCTACTGTCTTTGACCTTTGTGTAGGAATGAAATGTCATCAGTGAACCAGAGGTGGAGTAAATCTGAAAAGGAGTATCTGATATGTTGGAGAAAAACGCTTTGGACGTGAGTATGGCTTCCTCATATGAATTTTTGGGTTCTGAGTGTGGTAAAAGGAGTGAGGAGGCTTGCTTTAAGTGACTAGGGGGTGCTAAAGAAATGAAGGGATTGTCAATGAAGATTAAATTAAATTCTTGTATTTTTTTATAAGAAGAAAAGTTCCAAGAGTTGGGTGATTGTTGTAAGATCTTGGCAGATGTGGGAGGAGTAAACAGTGATGTGCTGACCAAAAGTTAATTTTAGTCCTTCTTTGCTAGGATGGCAGCGTCAGCTAGTGCTTGGAGGCAGGCAGCCCAACCTTTGGTGGTGGTATCTAGCTACTTAAAGAAGTAAGAAACTGGTTGGAAGGATGGACTTTGGTATTGTCCTAAGACCCTTAGGGCGAGGTTTGTTTTTCCATGTTATAGAAGGTGAGGGGGCGAGTAGGGTCAGATAGAGTAAGAGCTGGAGCCAAAAGGAAGGCTTCCTTGAATTTACAGAAAGGGGCATCTGTGGGTTGTGGCAGGTGTCCTCAAACTATGGTCTGTGGGCTACATGTGGCCCGCAGAGGACATTTATCTGGCCAGCCAGGTGTTTTTGCTGCCATTGTCTGTCCTGCTTAGCAACTGACTCATCCTAGGCCCCACAGTCCGGCCCTCCAACAGTCTGAGGGACAGTGAACTGGCCCCCTATTTAAAAAGTTTGAGGATCCCTGGTTTAAGGGTTCTAGTAGATTGCCCTGTGCAGCCTGATAAAGGAGCTGAGCCAGGAGAGAAAAATTAGAGACCTGGCTTCTGCAGAAAACTGCCGCACCTAAAAAAGAAAAGGATTTCTTATTTGGTGGTGGGTATAGGCATATTTTTATGAGGGTCTTGTGAGAGGTTGTGATGATGCATGTGTTAGGGGGTAGGGTTATGCCTATGTATGTAAATTGAGTAGTCACTAATTGAGCCTTTGACCTGGAGACCTAATACCCCTTGGAGGATAAGAAGTTGAGGAGACAAATCATATCTTCAGTGCTAGGAGAAAGTGATGGGGAACAAATAAGTAGGTCATCAACATATTGGAGGACAATAATATATGGGTAAGAGAAATATGAAAGTAATGTGAGAGCCTGACCAAAGAGGTGAGGGGAGTCTCAAATCCTTGAGAGACTTTATAGGTTGATTGATCTTAGTGATGGGTATCTGGATTGATTCAGGTAAAGGCAAAGAGGTTTTGAGAATTAGGATGAAGAGATATGGTGAAGAATTCGTCTTTGAAGTCTAAGACTGAAAAGTGTGATGTGGTGGGGGGATGGTTGACAAAAGGGTGTAGGGATTAGGTTCAACAGTATGGACAGGAATTACTGCAATATTAATGACCCTGAAGTCCTAAACTAGGTGATAAGTTCCATTAGGCTTTTTAACCAGAAGAATGGGGGTGTTGAGTGGAGAATGGGTTATATGAAAAATACCTTTATTAAGAAGTTGTGAAATTATGGGCTTTAAGCCTTGCAAGTCATATAAGGGGTGAGATATTGGGGTACACAAGGGTAGGAAGAAAGATTCTTTAAACAGATTTGGACAGGG